GGAGCGGGGCCGGGCTGAGGCACTGGGTTTCCCTGCTGAACCGTTGGGGGAAGCACCCGCGGCCCGGCGCTGTGCTCGAGCCTTGGCCCCAGGGCCGGCACGGCCCGCTGGGGAAGGGCTGGTGCCGGCGCCGAAGCGGGCCCGTGTGGACGGCGCGGTTCAGCCCGGCCGAGGGGACGGCGGCGGCGCGGGGACCGCGCTCCCCAAGGGACCCCGCGCTCCTGCGGGAGGAAGAGCCTGAAAACGTTCATGTGGGACATGCACAAAGTAAAAGGTCTCCCTCCCTCCGCCAGCTCTGTTTGTTGGGTGCCCCCCGGGGTGGGCGGAGTAGTGGAGGTCTTATCCTCTCACGTTGATACGGTGTAACCAGGAGGTGTTTTGGGTGGGCAGAAAAGACAGCTGAAGTCCCGCTGCCCAAGCCCCAGCAAGTGGAACTGGACATTTGCAGGTACTTGGCTGATGACTGAGCCTGGAGACAGAGTGAAGAGCACTTGTCAGCAGCTTACCAACCCATATCCATGCTGGCTCTTTACTAGGATGGTGTTCCTCGAAGTTGACTGTGCGAGCTCTCCTGACAAACATGTGCTGATTTGGTAGTGTCAGAGTGACACTGTAACTATGATGGTTCCAGGAAATGTGTGAGGCAACCATCTTTGTGGGCGATATATTTCTTGGACTAATTGCATAGCTGGGATAGACTTAGACAAGCTTTTAAAGAAGCTTCCAAAAGGTAATCTGAAGAAGAATGCATTGCACTTGAAATCCTGTCTCAGTCCATCCCAGCCATGCAGTTGGTTCAGTGAAAGACGTCACCTACAAAAATCCTTACTTCCGATTTAGTTTTTTCACAGCAAATAGGATCATAGGACAGTAGGGCTGGGAGGAACAGATGCATCCAGCCCTGGATGTATGTGTTATAGCCCCGTGCTCAAGACAGGCTTGTCCCTCCCAGCCAAGTGTCTGTCCAACCTGCTCTTCAATGTTTTCAAGGATGACAGTTCCCCAGCTTCTCTCAGCAGCCTGTTTCAATGCTTGATCACTCTCAGTCAGAAAATTCCTCTTGCTCTCTAACCTAAATTTCCTCCACTGCAGCTTAAGGCCATTGCTCCTAGTCCCGTCTCTCTATGGCCATAGAGAAAAACCCACCTCCATTCCCTCTATACTTGCCCTTCCAGTATTTGAAGACTGTTATCAAATTCCCCCTCGGTCTTGTCTTTTCCAGACTAAGTAGTGCGAGCTCTTTCAGTCTTTCCTCAGAAGTTATGCTTCCCAGGCTCCTCACCATTTTTTCTTGCTGTGTGAGGCCCAAAACTGGACACAGTACTCCAAGTGAGGACTCACCAGTGCCGAGCAAAGCGGAAGAATCACTTCCCTCAATTTGCAAGCGACTCTCCTGCTAATCCAGCCTGCCTTTGGTTTGGGGGCCGGGGTTTGGCACAAGAGCACACTGTTGGCTTATATTCAGTTTATGGTCTACTACAACTCCCAGGTCCTTCTCTGCACTGCTGCAGCCTTGCCAGTCATTCCCCAGTTTGTATTTGTATGTGCAAATACCTTGCGCTTGTCCATGTTGAATCTCATCTAATTGATTGTGGACCATTTCTCTGGTCATTCTGGATCCTGGGTATTTCTTCCATAGTGTCTGCAACCCCACCCAACCTGGAGTCATCCACAGATTTGCCAAGCTTGTGTTCAATCCCATCATCCAAATCATTAATGTAGCTGTTGAACAGTATGGGATATCTCCTCCCAGCTAAACACTCAGCCATTGAACATTGCTCATTGGTATGAGTCTGCTTAACTCACAGTGAGACAAAGCAATTTTTGCAGCTTGGTTGTGGCAGAAAGAACCAGTTTTGTGGCCATTTCCCTGCGGCCCCACCCTGCCACTTATTGGTATAGAGGTATATAGTGTATAATTTAATAGCAAATTCCATGAAAATAAATTATATAATAGATATATAACAAAATTATCAAAATATTAAATTAAAAGCTCCATTTAAATATATCATAAATATAAATGTATGTACAATATGAATTTTAACTATCATAATTTATTATTATATACGTAGCATTCAATAAAAAGTAGAAATACTAATTAATACTCACCTTAATAGAAACAATTAATTTTAGTTGTTAAATGCTAGCATGCAGCGTTTACCAGCAGTTGGAACTGACATTCTCTTTCTCTGCAGTGTGAAGACTTGTCCATACACTGAGAGGACATGATCACACTCAAGTTACTGAATTGGTTGGAACTGTAAGCCAGCATTTTGCCAAATTGTAGAGATTTGGGAACTAATCATAAACAGAATCCCCAAACTCAGTTACAGTCAAAGGAATCTGGCATTCTTTTACAAAGCTTGTGTAAGCAGCACGTTCGTTGTCATGCTCTTTCTGCCATTCTGTGATTCAGGGTATGATTTAATTTGCTGAGGGTCAAAACTCAGAAAAGGCAATCGATTTAGGTAAAAAATGTAAACAGCACCAAAAAAGGTAGGCAGCTGATTGTTTTAATTGAGGTGGTAGTGACTGATTGTATTTGTGGTACTGATTTAACTTTGCAGCTATTGCCTGGAACAGTTCTTGTCTGCACTGCTTTTCAGTTTGATAGTCTGAAATGTGTTATGATGCCGTTTCTTTGACCTTGCTTATCAAATCCATCAGTTTGTTGTGTGCTGGGTGAATCAAAAGCTGATGCCTTCTAAACCGTGTTAGAAGCTCCATGAGCCGTATCACATTTTCAGCCACAAACCTAACTTGATCTTCAGTGTCACCCTGCTTTGAAGATTGCATAGTTTAAGCATGCACTGTGTGTCAGGTGTGACTTTAAGCTCATCACATACAAATTTCTGGTAGTACTTAATATTCTTTGCATGGTAATGAACGGTGTTAAACCATGAATTCTGCCTTGTAAGCACTGGTTCTGGTGGAAGTGACACAGTTGCATTTAGATCCCCCTTTTGATTGGTGATGGACTCCCTGGATCGAAGCTTACAGCCTGGACAATGTTTGAATGCATTTTTAAAAGAGGAAACCAGTCTATCCACGTCAGGAAAATGTGTGCACCAGATATCACTTACTGAAGAAAGAATGGATGTGTTGTAGGTATTGTGAATTACATTGCACATCATTCCGTAGAGCACGTCAGAGAAAGCTTTGCACATATACATGGCATTATCAGACAGAAAGCTGACATTTTGCTAAATTCTAAGCCATAGTTTACAACAGACTTCATTACAGCTTGTGCTACATTTGGAAAATTACAGACGTGAGTTGAACCAGCTCTGTTTGAAAAACAGACAGGTCACGGTCTTTCCAGCTCCCAAATAAAATGTGGCTTACATAGTTATCCTGTGCATCTGTTGCTTCATCTGCCATAACTGAAATTGATTCATATTCTGCCAATGCAGATTTTGTAGACTGAACATGCAATGTAATTACTCCTGGTAGATAATCCTGGCGAAATTTGTTTGCACATGGGAAACTGCCAACATTTGGTAATGCGCTTCTTGAAGTACTCCCTAAATTTCCAGTTATCAGTTTTTTTCTCCAAAAGTAGGCTGGCAGCAGTGAATACTTCCACCAGCTGAAATGTAGCTTCTTTTGTTAAACTGGTTTCCGTGGTTCTTTTAAACGTCAAAGACATTGTGTCTTGTTTTGTGTTCTGACCTTCAGCCTCTGCAGAAGCCTTTTGCTGTATATGCAATTCATGCTTTAAGTGGTGTCCAATGCTGTTTTTCCTTGATACATCCAGAGTCATGTTCAAGATGAACAAAACTATATATTTTTAACAGCCACTTCACTATAGCAGCACCTATATCAGGGAGCTGCTGGTCACGTGTAGACGCCTGCGGATGCTATAGTGCCATAGTGTCATGTATAGACACACCCAGTAACTCAGTCAACGTGATCTGTGGCTACAGTGATTGTCACATTATCTTTATACTGCAGAAAGCATTGGGACATTCTACAACAGTGTATTACATTAATATAATGTTATATGAATAATACACGGGGGGTGAGGATTAGATTGATTTTGTGGGAAATCGCAGCCAATGCAGTATTTCCTGGCAATCATGCCCAATGCTTTCTTCATGGCTTCCGTAATACTGCAAAACAGTGAAGAAGACTCCTACTCATTGAGCGTAATGATCCAACCGGTTATGTATCCATGTTTACAGTACTTTTATGTAGTCTGTATTTCCATAGTTTGTTTAGGATAATGTCATGGGAGACTGTCAAAAACTGTGCTAAAGTCTGTCACGTCTGCTGACTGCCCCCTATCCCATCTACGAAGAGAGGAAATCATTATAAGAGAAAATCGGATTGGTCAGGCATGATTTGCTCTTAGTGAATCCATACTGGCTGTTCCTGGTCACTTTGTCCTCCTCTAGGTTCTTCTGGATAGAGTCCTTAAGGACATGCTCCATGATCTTTCCAGGTATTGAAATTAAGTTGATAGGTCTGTAATTCCTTGGATCCACTTTCTCCCCTTTGTTAAAGATTGGCACTCCGTTTACCCTTTTCCAAACATCTGGGACCTCACCCAACCTGCAGGAGTTCCCAAAAAGGATTACCAATGGCTCTGAAATTCCCTCAGCCAATTCTTTCAGTACCCTAGGGTGTATCCCATATGGCCCTGCTGACTTGACAGCATCGAGTTTCTCTAATCCCTAACCCGTTCTACTTCAAGGCATTGGTGTCCTTCCCTATATTTGCTGCCAGCTGCATTCACTCACCTGGAAGTTCCAGCATGGATTAATTTATGATGACAAATAATTGCAATCAAGTGTCAGAGCATGTGTCTAATTATTTCTGTGTGTCCCTGATTCTACCTCCTCTCATTCTTTCATGGTTGTGCTCTCTTCCAGTGTGGTTGCTTGGAAGGGTGGTGTATCCTGGCAATTCCAGTAATACTTATTTGAAGTTCCCAATGTTTTCTTGTGTCAGTCACTGTCAGCAGTACCCTCACTCTACCCGAGGTCAGAACAAAAGAAGAACTGAACGGCCCTATGGACTTGTGAGAGATGCAAGTGGAATGCGACTGATCTGGGCTACGGCCTGTTTTACTGTTTTGACTGTTGAATACTCAAGTATTGCTGCTGATGCAGGAAGTTTTCAGCTATATTTCTTGCTTTGGAAATAAAGGGGCTTTCTTCTTCAGCTTGTCTTAGTCAGAACTTTCCTTCAAGATTTCTTCCAATTGTCTCATATTCTTTTAGTCACCAACTGAAATGTGTGCCTTTCCAGGTTCTTTAGTGTGTGTATTGGAGCACCAGTGTTCACTAGAACTGGAATCTGATCTCAGTCCCATCCCATTTCTGTTCTTCACCAATTTTTTGCTTTGGGGTAGGACTCAATCTTTTCTTAAATGCCTCTTATTTTCTGTCTTCTCCATTTTGACCTCACCTATTCTTCACTAAGGGTAGCCTTACTCAGATGTGTTTCGTGTCATTTGATGATGTTAGCAGGAGTAAAATATCAGACAATTCCTGTGTAAAGGAGCATCACAACTGGTGGAATGAAGGGGAAGAGGGAGCAGTTGGCTCTATGAAATGGTGGCCTAGTGGTCATACATACTGTTCCAAAAATTTATTTCCTTGCTCACTTGACCAAGTGGGATGCAATTAGAGATATGTCTGTCTATCAGATGAAATGAGGAGCACAATCATGACGAACATTTGAGGGCAGCAGCAGGGAGGGAAGTGGAAGTTTTTGGGCTCCCCCTTCAATCAGGAAAGAAATCTAGATAAGATCAGGATAATCAATGAAATGAAGATGAAGAAAAGGAGAAAGGCACAGGAATCATCAGGGTGTGAGAGAAGGAAAATGAAAAAATGCTAAGCTGTTGAATGTCTCAATATGCTGGTGCTGGTGGTAGGATGTAGACAGACAACAGGCTCGCCACCCTCTTCAAGACCTTGCAGATTTGACTGATTGTATGTGCCACCCTCTTCAAGACTTTGCAGATTTGACTGATTGTATGTGAGGGAAGATATCCTTTTGCCCTAAACAAAGACAGTTCTTACAGTCCATGTTTAGCATTTTACTAGATTCTGTGGAAGAGTGTGGTAGATGCCAACAACTAAGTTCAAGGACAAAGTGCAACTTGCTAAAAAGCTTTAGTTTTTTGTATTTACAGGTGAGGGGAAGCTCTCTAGCGCTCAGCTGACCAAAGAGCCCTTGGAGATGGCAGCATGGCCTCATGCATTCACTGCAGCTTCTCATGAGGTGGTCATCAGGTATGACCCTTTACTGACAAGTTGTGTTTAGTGCAGGGCCATGCATTAAAGGAGGGTGGGGAAAAGGTTGCTTTACCAGGACAGCAGTGAAACAAATGGGACTTCCTTTTCCCATTAGTTCTCTTTCTTTTGAAAAGAAGCAGTTTCACACTCACTCACATAACAGAGTCCAGGCTGGCTGTTTTTTTCTTACGTTGCACAAGGTGGGAGTGGTTTGGTTACCTTTATGCCTCTCACAGTGAGGGAGACCATGCTGCCCTGGCTAAGCCCCAAACAGCACAAGCTTTCTGCTTCTGCTGTGTGTCCTGAGGCTGAGTTGCCCAGGTTCCTGTGGTCCTTATCTTGGGTTTGGAGCTCCCTCAAGAGAGCCTTACAACAAGGTTTTGGATTTGAGCAAGGTGTTAGGAGTTTATCCTTTATGCCAAAGGCTTTTTAGTAGTAATCTCCCTATAGTATATGTGTCAGCTGTTATAAGCAAATACAGAGGCAGCAAAAGTATCTAGGGTAGCGCCTTAGTGTTTCCAAACATATACACTACTTGTTTCCTACTTGAACCTAAGTAATGTAAAGGTGCTTGGCTAGATCAGTGACTTTCAGCCTTTTAAGGCTCAAGGCACATCTTGGAAAATGGCAGCGCTTAGTTGTCACTTGTTTTTTGACAGAATAACAATCTCAGAAAGACTACAACAGGTCAGAATATTTTTGACACTATGGATTCCTATTTGAAATCTCTGGGTTTATCTTGTGAATCATGTTTGCACACCTCACAGTGCTAACAGTTTGTGGCACTCTGCAGCTCCCTTGCAAATACTGCAAGGCATGCTGCAAAACCCTGAGCTGTATCTTTGGGAAGAAAAGGGAAGAAACAGTGATATACTGCTTGGAAGTGACACGCTGGGTCAGCATCTCAGCCTCAGTCAGAAAACTGCAAAATGGAGTTGCATGTCCACAGGGCATTTGTGCTGCAAAACTGCTGCGGTGTTTAGGTAGTAATGGGATGGGAGAAGGGTGTATGTGTAGGGAAAACAGATTTGCTAATTCTCAGTATTTCATGTTTCTTGTCTGAGGGTATTTATACACATACATTTGTTTGCTCTGATGCTCCTGGTGCTGCGTCAGGTGCATTTGTATAAACAGCAAAATGCACATCAGCACTAAGAAAATGGCAGCCATGCACATTGAAACTAAACACCTTTGGTGTGTTTTAGTTCAAAAGCACACCACTGCCACTTTCTCATCGCTGTTGCACATTTTGTCGTTTATACAAATGCATGTGACGCATGCTGTGCTCTTAAAAGTGCCTGGTGCTGTGTTAAATGCATGTGTGCATACACCTTTGACTAGGCTTTCCTGCCTTTGTTTCATTCAGGGAATCAGACATCCACATTGTGTTTCACCAGTTGGTTGCTATGTCCCCCCCCCCCCCCCCCCC